ATTTTCATCACTTTCTTCTCAACATTTGCTTATGATGTAAACCATCACTACCACTAGCACCCTATCACAATTGCCTCTAACCGTTTTTATGATTTAATCTCACTGTTGAGATGTTCTGACAAAGAACCTTCAATCTAGGCAGAACCATTTCTATAAAGAAATAGATCTTTACTGTTTTCTTGTTTTAGGTAGGTAAGCCGCCACTTACTATCAAAGTTGCTATTAGATGGTGGATGTTATCCTGTTGAATTAACTGTTGATTTTTTATTTAGGGTTTTTCAAAAAACATTTAATTATTTTGCCTTTGTAGTTTTGGGTCTTTTGGTACACCATCCCAGGCTGCTTTACCTGAAAAGGAGTTTATGCTGATTTGAAATGATAAAATACAAAAGCTTGTTATAATGAATGTTACTTTTTAAAAAATGCATTTATTAAAATACCTGTTACCATGCAAAAACAAGTAATACAACCTACTCACTAGAAAGTCCTAGGCAGCTTTCATTAATAGAATATATATATAAATTTAACATGCCACATCTATATTCATTGCTGTCCACTTTTGAAGACGTTCCATTAGAATATATATATAAATTTAACATGCCACATCTATATTCATTGCTGTCCACTTTTGAAGACGTTCCATTAGAATATATATATAAATTTAACATGCCACATCTATATTCATTGCTGTCCACTTTTGAAGACGTTCCATTCTGAAGGCCTTGTGAAAAAGGATAGTATTTACACTGTTCCTGAATGACAAAAAAAGGTCTTTTCTGACTTCAGGCGGTGTAATGCAACAAGGTCAGGGTGGTTTTGCTGAGAAGGCCATCCTGTGTACCCCTGCCTCCTTGATCTCTTGAAATGGGTACCTGTGACATCCTTTCCCAACTGGACCACACTGGATGGGCAGACTCCACCTGGGAGAGATGGTCATGAAGGACTTTGCGCCAACAGTACTTCCATCTAGGAAGGACCTCAGAGGAGAGGCTGGCTCACCAACAAGGGCACATTTATTAGCTGCTCAACTCCAATGGACTTTATTGCCTCATTACATGTTTCAAGAACGGCAGATCTATGTTTGTGTCAAAGGAACATATGGTAGATCCTGCTTGTGATGAAATGTTATCTTCTACGGCTCAGGATTCATGAGCATGTCATTGACTTAAAAGAGTTCATCCATGCATTGCAAGTCAGTGGTAAACCCCAAAGCCTATTTATGGAAAGTACTAGATTCAGTATCCACCATCTGTCAGTAAGGCTTTTGAAGACACTTGGAGATCCATAGTCATTATAGGCAATATTGAATTGAATGGAGCATTGACTTATTTTGTGAATCACTTGTTCATATGCTTCCCATCTCTGGCATGAAGGAAGTAATTGACTATATGAACTTCTCCAATTTTTTGCTGAGTGTTCTCTTGTCTTGTAAAATAAGAAGTCCCATTAGGTTTTCTGAGTTGCAGGTTACTGAGAGAAGACCCCAGTTTTTATAGTTTCCTGGCATCAGAGATTCCTTGAGGATTGGATTGATGGCTATAAAAATATAACTTCTTAAAACAAGGATATTATCTACTTAAGTGATGGAGTCTCACTGTGGGACACAGGCTACATTAGAAAGTAAGCCTTAAATGGCTATCCTTCTCAGGTAACTAGACTTGAGATGAAGCCCATATATTTGTTTAAAATCAGCAGAGATGGCAGAATCTCCATTACACTCTAAAACAGGAATGGGCAACCCTTGGGTGACCAGAAGCCACATTTGGGAAGCAGGGGAGAGGTGGGTGTGGTAATAATGCAAAGCTAGTGGAGACCCATCCTGAAAATTGGAGGGGCCAAGATTTGGTCTCTCTATCTCTCTCTCTTTAAAGGATAAATGCTCTTAGCTATTGAAGGCTGAGTAAAAAAGGGTTTTTTGGGGCTGGCCTGTTTGGTAGAAATCCTGACAAGAAGCTCCATTTGAGACATAGATTTGCTTCTTCATTTCAGTGAAAGAGAAGGATCTTATTCTTCACTTTCTTGATCCCCCCCCCCCCCCCCC